AAAAAAAAAAAAGAATCTATACATAGACCAAGACACTGTTGCTCGAACAGAGAAAGGGGATAACACACGGTTTAAAATCAGGAAGGGAGTGTGTAAGGGTTATATCCTTTCACCATACTTATTCAATCTGTGTGATGAACAAATAATCTGAGAAGCTGGACTATATGAAGAAGAATGTGGCATCAGGATTGGAGGAAGACTCTTTAACAACCTGCAATACGCAAACAGCACAACTTTTCTTGCTGAAAGTGAAAATGATTTGAAGCACTTACTGATGAAGACTGAAGACTACAGTCTGCAGTATGAATTACATCTCAACATAAACAAAACGAAAATCCTCACAACTGGACCAATAAGCAGCATCACAATAAATGAAGATTGAAGTTATTACTTGGTTCCACAATCAACACCAATGGGAAGCAGCAGTCAAGACATCAGATGACATATTGTACAGGGCAAATCTGCTGCACAAGACTTCTGTCAAGTGCTGAAGAGCAAAGATGTCCCTTAGAAGACTAAGGTATGGCTCACCCAAGCCATGGTATTTTCAATCACCTCATATGCATGTGAGAGCTGGACAATGAACAAGAAGACCGAAGAAGAGTTGATGCTTTTGAGTTGTGGTGTTGACGAAGAATACCGAAAGCATCATTTGTTGTTGTTGTTGTTGTTATTTGCCATCGAGTCAGCCCTGACTCATAGCGACCCCTCCTCGGGTTTCTGAGGCAGTATCACTACGGAAGTAGGAATGCCCAACCTCCCAAAAGAACAAACAAATCTGTCCTGGAAGAAGTACAGTCAGAATGATCCCTGGAAGCAAAATGGCCAGACTTCGTCTTACTTACTTTGGTCATGTTGTCAGAAGGGACCAGTACCTGAAGGATATCACGCTTGGTAAAGTCAGCAAAAAAGGGGAAAGCCCTCAATGAGATGGACTGATACAGTGGCTGCAATGATGGGCTCAGGTATAGCAAGGACTGTGAGGCTGGCACAGGACTGAGCAGTGTTTCACTCTGTTGTACACAGGGTTGCTATGAGTCAGAGCCAACTTGACCTAACAACAACTAAACCCACTGCCATCGAGTCAATTTCAACTCATAGCAACCCTACAGGACAGAGTTGAACTGCCCCGCATAGCATTTCCAAGGCTGGCAAGGCTGTAATCTTTACGGAGGAAGCTCTGGTGTAGTGCCTAAGGCATTTAACTGCTAACCAGAAGGCTGGCAGTTCAAAACCCACCAGCCACTCCTCAGAAGGAAGATTGGTCAATCTACTTCTGTAGAGATATCACCTTGGAAACCCAAGGAGGGGGCGGTATGAGTTGGAAACGACTCGATGACAATGAGTCTGGCTTTATGAATCTTTAAGGAAGAAGACTGTCATATCTTTCTCCTCCAAAATAGCTGGCAAGTTCAAAGGACCAGCCTTTTAGGTAACAGCCAAGTGCTTAACCATTGTGCCACGAGGGCTCCTTTAAGCTTCTCAGGCCTAGTTTTTTCTCTGAATGCTAAGAGATGGAAGATCAGCATTTGGTCTTGAAAACGACAGGCTCTTCTAACCACTGGCAAAATCATCTCAACAATATAAGGAGAAAATGGTAACCTTTTAATAAAATAAGACATACTTCAGCATCATAGAACCACCCTTCAAAGTGTTATTTATGATCAAGTAATTCCAAAGACACCCAGACTCACAAACTGTTGTTATAGTCTATGAAAGTAATTTCTAACATTTATAAAATCTGTAATTCCAACTGGTTGTATTCCTTAATAACATGTTTCCCTAGTAATGATATTTAAATTGACATCTCTGTTTTTCTGAAAGAATACATTTTTGAGTTTTAACTTTATTTTACTTCCTTCTTATTCCTCATGAATAGAAATAAAAAATAAAAGCCTTCATCCCACTGGCTTTCGAATTAAAAAAAAAAACAACTTTTTTTTTTCTCTGATTGTCTACCTCATCTAGATTAACACAGGGGAAGAAAGAGTGACAGTGTTGAGTCATTTTAAAAATAAGCATTATGGGAAGAAAATGAAATTTTCAAAATTGTATCTTCACCTATATTATTTACATACTTTATCCTTATATGTTCCACATGCTATACACAGATCATCTTGAAAGGCAATACTTACTATAACTGCCCGGAGATTTTTCTTCGTAAGTAAAATGAAGCTGCAATTCCTCCTCAGACATCTCACAGATGAACACTTTCAGCAAACAGCAAATGATAAACAAAGCATTGTGTGTCTGCCAAATGAAGATGTGGCTAGTAAGGAAAGACCAAAATCACACAAGAATCAAAGTTTAATCATGAGTCTGGTCAGTTTATTTCTAGCACATGATTTCTACATGATCCACCAACCACTTTGTCCATCCTGCTTGTAGTATTAGAACTATACCCTTATCTTTCGATAACAATTCTCGATATGTTACACTGGATCACTGATAACTATGACATTTTACCTCATATCTCACTCTGTGTATCTGGCATAGTAAGTGAATGTAATAAAAACCTTCAGTGATGTCTGTGAGCATGACTGCTCTTTGTTCCTGACTTATAGTCGCCCACATACGGGCAATGCAAAGAATCCGTAAAAAAAAAAAAAAAAAAAAAAAACTTAAAAATTATGGCACCATAAAAAAAACATACACAAATACGTAACCAAAATTTAAATGGGGATCAGCAGCACCACAGTACAGTACTTACTATTTGTATTAATGACCATGAACTGACAAGAAAAACTTTAAGTGGATTCAATATAATTTGTTTAGAAGTAGAGCAATGAACATTTAAAAGACTAACATTCATCTGAAAGATGCTTGAGTGCATAAAAGATTAACCTCCCACTGAACGTAATATGAAAAAAAGCAGCAGATATGGAATGAAACAATACTCAAACTAAGTCATTATTTAAACTAGATATGACTAGCCTTAATGGAAAAATCACCCCTTTTTGTATTAACTGAATCACTATTGATCTTCTTAATGAATATATTTCTGAAGACTATCAAAAATGCTGAAATCAACTGATTCCAGAATTGATAATCCTACCCCCAATGACTTGCTCACAAACTAAAACTTCTTTCTTTCACCTCTTTCCTTTAACAATGGAAATAATTCCTTAACAGGAGTTTCCAAATGAACTGTGGTGGTTAAGTTCGTGTGTCAACTCAGCTAGGCCTGGATGAGTGGCTGGGCAGCTGGATGTAGTATTCCCCATGATGAGACTGGTACTCAACTCCATGGTGGAATCTACTGTGAGCAGCTGAGTAGCTGCCTTTGGGTATGTGGTCTGCTTCCTGTATATAAGGAGAAGCTTTGAGAATGGTCTCTAGCCTATGGCACGCTTGGACCCTGCATGCAGCCATGTCACTGCTCAGCAGCCTGCCATGCTCTACCTATCCTGGGACTTTCAATGGACTTGAATCAATGGCCTGCCATGTGGTTTGGTAACATCAGGACTGTGTCATTTTGCTTATCAACCTTGGGCTTATTAGCCCCAGCGGCCAGTAGCTGCCTGAGTGAAGAAATGCCTCTAGCTTCAGTGGGCCGGGAGCAAGAGGCAGAGCTAAAGTCCAAAAGGTTGAGGGGCTTTCAGCCAACCCCTAGAGCCTGGCACTTTGAACTCGGACTTCTGGCCTCCCGAACCATAAGAGAATAAACTCCTGTTTGTTCAAGCATCCCATTTGTGGTTTATATTCTTGTCAAAGTGGCGCTACATAACCAGAACAAGGCCATTAGTCTATTTCTATCAATAAATACAATAATATTCATGTTGTTAAATATAAAGAGAACAAGCTTTCATTAGCTGGCTTACTTCTGACATTCTGCTGAAAGTTTTAGTTCTTTGGTTCTAGAAAGGAAGACCTTAATCAGTGCAGCAAGGTTTCCAGTTCGAGGATTGTTTTCAACTGCAAGAGAAGAAAAGGTTTCAGAAAGTAAAAGTTGAGAACTGAAACAGACATGAACATATTGTAACATTTATCCAAATGCCTATTTCAAGTTGCTCACTGACCAAGCTCATTGTCAATTTCACATCTAATAAAAGGAATCAAGCAAGGAGAGAAACTGCTGCTGATCTTAATTCTGAACAAAAAATGATTCATTCATAACATGATGAAGCAGGAGAAAGCAGTCCTCATCTTAGAATCTAAAGGTTTAAAGACATGATAGTTACATACACATACCTTTCTCTGTAGAAAAGCAGACTTAAAAAAAAATTCAAAAATGATCATCTATATATAAGAGAGAGAATAGAATAGACTGTGAAACCAGTATATAGAATAAACTATAAAAGTAAAATTCTGCTAAAAAAAATCACAAAGAAAAAAATGATTATGAAAAATAAAAAAGAAAAAAAAGCAATGTGATTAGAGGGGAGTGATTTGATTTGAAAATTTTTAAAATATATATATACACAAATTTTAAAATGTTTAGAAGATGGCAAAAGACAGGTACATGAGCTGAAACATTTACATTTGGTAGATACACTCCTTGGAGAGATCAACATGGGAGAATAGAAGGGCTGTGTATGCAGTGGGAGACAGCTCAGGGGGCAGGAGTGCATGGGAAGGAAGGACACAGGGAAGAGGTAACTATGGGGAGGAAGTGGGAGGAGAGCTGTTGCACTGTGGGAAACTGCATGTGGAAAATATCATGACACAAAATGTATGTGAGCTGCTGCACAGAAGGTAAATTTGCTTAGTAAACTTGCACCCAAATCACAATAAAAATTAAAAAAAAAAAGTTTAGAAGACGGGCAACTCGGCAAAACCAGCCTACAGAACTGAAAAAATAATGTATCGGGAATCAGATCTGGTTTCTATTCAGGCATTTACTGAACCTCAGACAAATCACTTTACTTCTCCAACCTCATCTGTAAAAGAAATAGCAGCTAACATATACTGAACAATATATACTTTCTATGCAGTCTCTCATTTAACCATATGTGATAAGCACCCATATTCTTCATTTTAGACATCCTCACCTGCAGCTTGTCATTTGCTTAAGGCACATCGTATCTACTGACTCAAACCCTTCGCTATAAACTGCTCTGCTATACCAACCCCTTTAAATCAAGGCATTAGAGTCAATGAAAGTAGTTCTATCAGGCTGCACAGCAAGTCACAGAATCACACACCTTAAGATTTCACCAGAAGGCAGAGACCACATCATCAGAATCTTCTTTTTTATTGATGAAGGAAAAGAGAACCTCAGAGGTTAAGTGTCAGGCCCAAAGTCAACAACACATTACCGACAAGTCCCTGGCATTTTTGCTTTACCGACGGTTTTCAAATGTGAGATCCAAGAGTTTGGGATATTTGTTTTTCTTTTGATGCATATTTTGAAAACCAGAAATGCAAACACTCAATGCATCTAGGCTGCCATGAGCCATTTATTTTTGTGCTGATATTTTGTGCTAATTATGCTTTGTCATCCCCATGCATACGTTTGAACTGACTGAAAATGTGTCAAAGATTTAGAAGGAAATAGTTATTCAGCATTGACTTTTTAAATCCAGATCTGCACATCCATTCTTAAAAAACTGTACATGGGAATAAGTACACCATTACAGCATACTTGCATTGTGCTTAATAACTATCAATTCCAGTTTATGTGCTGAGCATGCGTTCTTATCACAGCTTGAGTGTCAAGACAAGTAACCGTGTAAGTTCTCCCTTGTGTAGCAAAACACTCTTCAAAGTGTGGTTCATGGACTAGCAGCAACAGCATTGTCTGGAAGCTTGCTGGAGTGCACAATACCAGGCCCACCTCACACCTACTGAAGTTGACAGCACTTCCCCCTACAGTGAACGTGTATTTAAATCACAAGGTATTATTAAAACACAAATTATGATTCTTCCATATGAAATCTGACCTGCAATTCTGCATTACTGATAATCTCCCAGGTGATGCCAACTACTGCTGGTTGGAGAAGCTCACTGCGAGTAATAAGGTGCAGCATTTACTATACACTGGGGGAGTTTTGTCCGAGTTTCATAATGAAGAATCGAATGTACACAACTACATAATCAAAATAGACTAGTGCTGGAATAACAACAGATACACAATCTAATGGAACAGAACTGAAAATCCAAAAATAAGCCCACACATCAATGGTCAACTGATTTTTGACATGGGGTGCTAAGTCCATTTGATGAGGAAAGAAGAGTCTCTTCAACAGATGGTGCTGGGAAAACTGAATTTCCACATGCAGAAAGAGGAAACAGGATCCTTGCCTCAGACCAGACACCAAAACAAAATCCAAAATGAATTAAAGACCTAAATGTGCAAACCAACACCATAACTTCTTAGAAGAACAAGCAGGTGTAACACTGTCAGGCCTAGCTTTAAATAGTGGATTATCTAACATAATAACAAAAGCACAAAGAGCAAAAGACAAAATAAATAAACAGGACATCCTAAACACTAAAAATCTTTTTTATCAAGACTTTACCAAAAAAGGGAAAAGATAAGCTACTAACTAGGAGAGTATCTTCAAAAACCTATATCCAACAAGAATCTAATAACCAAAATATATATAAAACTTCAACGACCTAACAACAAAAAGACAAATAACCCAATCATAAAATGGGTAAAAGGAATGAAATAGATAGGGCATTCCAAAGACCACCAAAAAAATGAAAAGATGTTCAACATCATTAGCCATCAAAAAGATGCAAATTAAAACCATAATATAAGATAACCATTTCACTTCCACTACAATGGCTTAGATATTTAAAAAAAAAAAAAAAAAAAGCTAGCAAAGACATAGGGAAATTGGAACCCTTGCCCACTGCTGGGGGGAAAACAAAATGGTATAGTTGCTGTAGCTCCTCAAAAACTAAAAACAGAACTACCACACGACCTAGCAATTCCACTCCTAGCTATATACCCAAAAGACTTGAAAGCAGAGACTCAAAATGGAACCTGTACATCAGTGTTCACAGCAGTACTATTCATAATAGCCAAAGTTGGAAATAACTTAAATGCTCATCAACAGATGAAGGGATAAACAAAATGTAGTACATACATACAATGTCATATTACTCAGCACAGTTTGAGAAAGGAAGTCTTGATACATGCTGCAGTATGGGATGCAGCCTGAAGACATTATGCTGAGTGAAACAAGCCAATCACAAAAGGACAAATATTCTATGACCTCCCCTATATAAAAAGACAAGAAGAGTAAATGTATAGAGCACGAAGTTTTTAGTGGTCACAAGGGGTAGGACAGAAAGGGAAAAGGGGGTGTAACGGTGATGGAAAAAAATCCCATTGATTAAGGGTAAGATTGCACAGTCGATTACTGTAATTGTTGCAACTAATAACTGCACTTATTGATTAGTGTATAAGTTGCATACCTGTAAAAAGTTGAATTGGCAAAATATGTATGACAGATATATTTACAACAATGACAAAATAAATGTAGCTGCTGAAGCTGCTTAAGTACAACCAAACACCTCATGGAATTTGATTCCTTGGTTTGAAGGTTTAGGATCATGGTTTCATGAGAAATCCCAATTAATTGGCCTAAAAACATGTTTAGTGCTTCTGTTCTACCTCTTCTTAGTTCACTGTATACTGCCTGAGGTCCTAAAGGCTTGCAAGCTGCCATCCAAGGCACAATAATTAGTTCCTATTCACCTGCAGCAACAGAGGAAAAAAGAACATCAGGAACAGGAAGAGGATGTGCAATATGTGGTTAAATGCCTCCATGAGACCAGAAGAAATGCATGGTGCCCAGCTACCGTTAATGAGTATTCTGGCAAAGATTCCATAGAAGAATCCTGATCAAAAGTGGAAAAATGCAGAACAGAATTTCAAATTCTTATGGAACCCAGACTTTCTGGAGCCATGGAGGCTAGAGGAACCCCCTAAAACAATTACCCTGAGATAATCTTTAAACCTTAAACCAAAATAAACCCAAGCAGTAGTTTAGCTTACCTACTGAAAAGAGTTTACCTTGAGCATTATTCTCTTTTAAGATCTAACTTTATGGGATCAAATTGACCACAGCAACTGCAAAGACCAGACAGAAACTTTAATGGGCACTGAGTTTATGTTAATGAAGGAGGAACATCTCAGAAAAGGAGGATGAGAATAGTTGCACAACTCAAAGAATGTATCAATGTCACTAATCTGCACATGTAGAGAGTGCTGAATTGGTGTATGTTTTGTATGTGTCTGTTCTCAACAACAAAATACATAAAATTGAGAAAAAAAGCTACGTGATCAGATAGTAGATAATGTTAAGAGTTTCACTAAATGTCCTACTGTTTTTAAGTTTCAAGCTTAGATGGATGAAAGATTTCAGGATAAACTTTTTAAAAAATTAGTATTTCCAAGTACTTTTCTCTATGAATAAATATTATCTAGCTATTGTAAATCAAACAAAATACTGAGACAATTGAGGGCTAGAGCTGATATTACTACAACAGTCATTCAGAATCCCAAAATTTCATAGCCTTGTGTTCATTCAATAGCCCCTTTATTATTGAATGACATTAAATTTATATTTAGCTATTAAAAATAAAAAAAAAACAAAAACGTGTTATTGGAAAGAGCAAACAAACTACTAGCTTAATGTAATTAATGTTGAGATACCCAGATATACACAGCACCGTTTCAGGGACAAAAGAGATAAACACCTGTACACAAAACTCTCTGCCTCATGGAGCCTACCTTCTAAGAGTGCTAATATTTTCCATAGTAACCTTTTGTACATAATGCAGATCAGACCTAAAACTAGTAAAATCAAATATAGTCAATGCTCTTTAAACAATAATACCCAATGGCAAACACAAGATTCCAAAACCACTCCATGGTAAGAACAATGAATTTAAGAAAATCATAGTTAATTGGTAAAAATCAAACGCTAACCTAAAGGTTAAACGACCTGTGGTAGTTATGTTTGTGTGTCATCTTGGCTGGGCCTGATTGAGTGGCTGGGCTGCTGGTGGTAGTTATTTCCCATGATGAGACTGGCAATCAACTCCATGGCGGGATCTACCACAAGCAGCTGAGTAGCTGCCTTTGGGATGTGGTTTGCTTCCTGTATATAAGGAGAAGCCTTGGGAATGGTCTCTAGCCTATGGCACAGCTTGGATCCTGCATGTAGCCATGTCGTTGCTCAGCAGCCTTCTATGCTTTGCCCGACCTTGGGACTTACAGTGGACTTAAGTTAATGGTCTGCCATGTGGATTGGTAATATCGGGACTGTGTGCCTTTTTACTTGCCAACTCTGAGGCTTCTCAGCCTCAGCAGCCAGCAGCTGTCTGAGTGAAGAAACGCCTCTAGCTCTAGTGGTCTGGGAGCAGGAGGCAGAGCTGGACCCCAGGGTTGAGGGGCTTTCACCCAGCCCCTAGAGGCTGGCACTTTGAACTTGGACTTAAAGCCTCCAAATTGTAAGAATAAACTCCTGTTTGTTAAGGCCAATGCATATGTGGTATGTTTCTTGTCAGAGTGGCACTAGGTAACCAGAATACAACCTTTAGAAACCAGAGTAGGAACAGGGTACATCAGACAGGAAGGCAAAAAAGCATAATGGGACTAGACCATAGAATCTGACTAGTCTCCAATCCCAGTTCCATTACTGACTAGCTGTGTTAAATTTGGTAACTTGTCTATTTGCAGACTCATTAATTCATTAATTCAATTAACACTATACTATCAAAAGATATAACAAAAACTTTGAAGTAAATGTGCTTCACACGTGCCTTTTCCCCCTTACCTAAAGACTTGCAGACTGAAAGAGTAGTCTCTTCCAAAAGCTTCAACTCCGTACTGGAGAGAAAAAAGAAAAAGGGTGATTAATCACTACAACACTAAATATGTATACATGAACCAATTCAAGGAATATATAAAATACAAAAGAGATACAATTTGGAAGAAAAATGTTATACAGTAGTGAAAACTAAGATCAACAAAAAAAGTTACACTTCAATTAATAATATAATTAGAAAATATACTATACTTTCCAATACATGATTCTTAAGTGTTCAGGATGCCTGCCCTGGCCTTCAAGCATTGGAGTTAGGGGAAAAAGGGGTAGAGGAAGAGGGGGCAAAAGAGTGGGGAGACTTAGAAAAATTTAAGAAAGGCAATTCACAGTGCAGAGCTCAAGGCAAGGGCCACAACTGTCCAGTTCTAAGACAATACTGATAATGGTATTTTAGTTACTTAGAAAAATTTCCTTTATTTCAAGAAATATGAAGTGTCATGATGTCTGCAACACTTCAAATAGTTCAAAAAAAGAAGCAAAAGACAAGAGAGACAATGCATATATAGAAGATTCAATGACATACAGACAGAAACAGAGCCAGAGATAGACAGACAAACACAGATGCAGAGAGAGTAGGCAGACAGACAGACAAAGACAAGTAAATGACAGAGGCAGGAGATAGAAGGGAGAAAGAAAGAAAAGCATAAATATCACATAAAGTTGACAGCTTGTAAATCTAAATAGTAAGCACGCAAGTGTTCATTCCATCACTCTTAATATTTCTGTAAATTTAAAATTTTTCAAAGTAAAATGCTGGGGAAAACACACACAAATGAAGAGACAGAGAGAGAGGAACAGAGAGGAAACTGAAATACATAGCAAAAGTGTATTAAGCAGAGAAGGGCATAAATAGAATTGAAAGAATTTGTGAAGGTCCAGGTTTATGTTGTTATGTGCCATCGAGTCGGACTCGACTCATAGCCCCCCACCCCTCCTTGGGTTTCAGAGGTGGTATCACTACCGAAGTAGATTGCCCAACCTTCCTTCTGAGGAGTGGCTGGTGGGTTTGAACCACAGCCCTCTGGTTAGCAGTCAAATGCCTTAGGCACTATGCTACAAGAGCTCCAGGTTTATATCAAACTTTAATTCAAGGATGCATGCTCTAAAGCTAACCATTAAAACAGTAAAAGGAACATATAATTACCTAGCATGCAAAAGGGCAAAAGTAGAGTAACAAAATATATTTAATCAATCTAAAAGAAAATTCAAAAAAAAAAAAAAGAATTTAAAATGAGATAGAGAACAAAAGGTAAGATGACAGAGTTAAACAAAAACATATTTAAGTATATATAATTAAGACCATGATTGTCAGTCAGGATTTTTAAAATAAAAATAATAAAATCTGTGCTGCTTACAAGAGATACATTCTAAAGTTAAGAGTTCAGGAAGATTGATTGTTCCCCAAATGAACAAATAAGTTAAATGCCATTCCTATCAAAATCACAGCAAGATTTTTCATAGCTGTAGAGAACCTTATTATAAAATTTTATATGGAAAGGCAAAGGAACTAGAATAACTAAAAGAATTTTGAAAAGCAAGAAAAAAGTGGAAGGAAACATTCTACCTGACTTCAAGACTGCCGAGTTACAGCAATCAAGACAGAATGCTGAGGGTGGCAGCTATGCCACTGGAACCACATGCCAGCAAGGTCACACATGGTGGACAGGGTTCAGCAGTTTCCAGACTAATACAAACCTACTGCCACTGAATCGATAGCAACATCTATTGGGTTTCCAAGGCTCTAAATGTTTACAGAAGTACATTGCCTCATCTTCCTCCCACAGAGCAGCTGGTAGGTTTGAACCTCCAATCTTCTGGTTAGCAGCCAAATGCTTTACCCACTAAGCCACCAGACACTAAGACTGGAAGAAAGGCCTGGTGATTTATCCAGAAATTAGCCTATGAAAACCCTATATATGACAATAGAATACTGTCTGATATACAGTGCTGAAAGATGAGCCCACCAGGTTGGAAGGCACTTAAACATACCAACAATCATGGCAATGGCACAGACCGTGCCACATTTAGTTCTATTATACATAATGCCACCATGAGTCAGAGTTGACTCCATGGCAACTGAAAACAACAACAAGTGATTCTATGTTTAACTACTTACAGAACTAGGGTTTCTTTTCTAAGGTGATGAAAATGTTCTAAATTTGACTGTGATGATGGTTGCACACATCTGTGAACATAGTAAAACTCACCGAATTGTACACTTTAAACGGTTGAATCATATGGTAACTGCACTATATTGCAATAAAATTGTTTTTATAATGGAAAAAAAAAGGGCAGAGCGCTACCTGTTACATGGGATCAAACTGACAACAGCCACTTGAGAGACTACATAGGAACCTTAGGGGGCAATGAATTTATGTTAATGGTGAGGAACAACTCAGAAAAGGACAATGACAATGGTTGTACAAGTCAAAGAACATAATCAATGTACGTGGAGAAACGAATTGGTGTATGTTTTACTGTGTATAGTCTCAACAACAAAATAGTATTAAAAAAAAAAAAGCAGTGCTGTTGGTAGAGTGACAGAATAGAACACCCACTGTTATGAGGATAGATACACACCAGTATAGTGCACTGATACTGGACAACACTGCAAAAGCAATTTAGTGGAGGAAAGACAGTCTTTTCGACAATGGTGCTGGAGAGATTGGACACAGACAGGCAAGAAACCTAAACGTGATGCCATATATAAAATTAAGTTAAAACTTCACCCGAACTACAATTAAAAAAAAAAAAAAAAAAACTTAAAATGAATCAGATTTAAATGTGAAAATATAAAACTTTTAGAAGAGAATAGAGGGAGAGAGCTTTGGGACCTTAGCCAGGTGAAGAGTTCTGAGGCATGACACAAAGGCACATGCAGTGAATTGCTTGATGTGGCCCTTCTAGCCATTGTCCTCCATTCTGTGATGTTTTGTAAATCCCATTCATTATCCATGCCTATTTGGGGTGATGTGGTAGTTAAGGCCAGGTATCAACTTGGCTGGGCAGCTTGTTGTTGTTGTTATGTGCCATCGAGTCAAACCCGACTCATAGCGACCCTTCCATGGGTTTCCGAGGCAGTATCACTATGGAAGTAGGATTGCCCAACCTTCCTTCCGAGGAGTGGCTGGTGGGTTTGAACCGCCAGCCGTCTGGTTAGCAGGCAAGTGTCTTAGCCACTATGCTACCAGAGAGTCATTCCCTATAATGACTGGCAATGGACTCTGTGATGGGATTTAGTAATTCTGTTGGGGCAACACAGGTGGAATGTATCTTGAGTCCTGCCTTGCTGGAGGGTATAATTCAAATCACCACCCTTAGCTTCCCTGAGGGTATACCTACAAATCTCCTGGGAAGATTCGCTCTCCTCTTGCTCCGGCTTTGTGTCTTGGATCATCCTCACCTCACCCCTGGATTTGGGACAGCAGCCGTCATATGATCTGCTGATCGAGGTTCATCAAACCTCGAGAGTTGGGAGGATCCGCCAGACCTACTCACGGACCCGGGACTCGCCAGCCTGCCAGCCTCCACCACTACTACGTGAGACGAACCCTTGGGTGTCTGTGAGTTCTGTGAGGCGTTACAACGAAATCCAGAACGCTGAGACTGGGGAAATTACTGGGAGGAGGAGTTAATGTCTGAAATGATGGAGTGGCATGGTAGTTTGGACATTTGGGACATCTTTAACCTCCGCCTCACGGGGACCAGGCTCATGCTGATCTTTCTAAGAGAAATTGTTCAAGCAGCATAGTACATCAAAGAAAACAAAACTGATGATAAAATAATTGATATGCCTTTGATATACTGTTTTGAGACACGTACTTACATGAAAGAGAAGCATTATTAACTTTAGAACATGGAAGAAGGGAAAGAAATAGATTGGCAAGGGATGTGTCATGTTATTATATTATTTCTTTAAAAGCTTATTTCTCTAATAAATAAAAATCTGAAGCAAATAAAATGTTAAAATATGTTCAATCCTGGGGGTGAGCATATGAGAATTACATGATCTACAATTTCTAATCTTGCAATTATTTCATAAAAATAAATTTAACAAAAAAACGAAGCAGGCACAATTCTGTTTTATAGAGAATGAGTATCTACAAAAGAGTGCTAGTATCCAGATGAGAGCACCAAGAACAGACAAGATAAAAGCAGCATCCACCCAGAATAAAGTTTGTTGTTGTTTTTTTTAAAACACCCCTCCTGGCACCCCTGCTACCAGGACTACTTTATTTAAAATAGTCTCAAAAGTAAGCCTGCATCTATTAAGTAACCTTCTCTTATAAAACTGTGCTGATCTACAGCTTTGGAAACCCTAAGGGCGCAACTACTGGTCTCTCCCTATCTGTAGCAAAGAAGAGTGAAGAAAATCAAAGATACATGGAAACAATTAGTCCAAAGGACGGGTGGACCATGCAAACCTCAGCCTGTACAATCGTGACAACAGAGGAACTAGATGGTGCCCAGCTACCATAAAAACTGCTCTGAAAGTGGTCATGTTAGAAGGTCCTGAATAGAATGGAAGTAAAACGTGGAACAAAACTCGAAATCATAAAAAAGAACAGGTTTACTGGTTGGATGGAAACTGGTGGATGCCGAGAGCATGGCCCTTGGTCACCCTTCAGAGCTGGAACTGAACTCACTCCCACAGCTGAATTTTTAGTCAAAGTGAGCAATAACTCTAGGAAGGGAGACATTTCTTGGAACATTTGAAATCATAAGGGCAGCATTTGCCCAAGGACAAAGTTTGGATGGCAGGAAGGGTTAGGAGAAGAAGAGGAATGGAAAAGAGAAACACAGGAAGGAAGTAGAAGGAGTGATGTTACACTGAAGGGGATTGCAAGCAATGATATGAAACAAAACATGTGCAAATTGTTGAATGGAAAACTGATTTGCTCTGTACACGTTTACCCAAATTACAACAAAAAGTTTAAAAAAGAAAAAAAGAAACTCTGGGACGGTTCTACTCTGTCCTGTAGGGTCATTATGGCAGCAGGTT